ACCGTAGCACATTGTAGTCTAGGGTCCATAAGCGCCATGCCCTTAAATGGGCACCTAGAGGGGCGTCCAGACACCGCCCTCAGGGCAGACACGCGAGATCCGACGGTTGGAACTGCAGTGAAATTTTGCAGTGAAGGGGACATAGGGCTGGCTCCTCCGCTCCATGATAGGACCTTAAGATAAGGCGGTCCTATGGCCTTAAGATACGGCGGTCGTATCTCTAGACGGTGCCCCTATGACAGGATCTTAAGATAAGGCGGTCGTATCTCTAGACGGTGCCCCTACGACAGGACCTAAAGATACGGCAGTCGTATCTCTAGACGGCACCCCTACGACATGACCTAAAGATACGGTGGTCATAACTCTAGACGGCAGCCTTACGACAGGACCTTTAAATACGGCGGTCGTATCTCTAGACGGCGCCCCTACGACAAGACCTAAAGATACGGCGGTCTTAACTCTAGATGGCACTCTTACGATAGGATCTTAAGATACTGTGGTCGTAACTCTAGACAGCGCCCCTATGACATGACCTAAAGATACGGCAGTCGTATCTCTAGACGGTGCCCCTACGACAGGATCTTAAGATAAGGCGGTCTTAACTCTATAGATGGCACTCTTACGATAGGATCTTAAGATAAGGCGGTCGTAACTCGACTAGATGGCACTCTGTACGATAGGAAGATACGGCGGTCGTATCTCTAGATAGCACTCTTACGACAGGACCTTAAGATAAGGCGATCGTAACTCTAGAATTCACCCTTACGATAGCTCTTATCTTTATGATGGTCGTAGCTGCATGGACGAGTTCTCAGTATATGGGGCATGTAAGAATGTCTGTGCACTTATGACAGCCCATGAGTTACGACGGTTGTAAGTGCAGGGGTATGTTCTAAGTATATGGGGCATGTAAGAATGTCTGTGCACTTATGACAGCCCATGAGTTACGACTGTCGTAAGTGCAGGGGTTATGTTCTGAGTATATGGGGCATGTAAGAATGTCTGTGCACTTATGACAGCCCACCGACTTACGACTGTCGTAAGTGCAGGGGTATGTTCTGAGTATATGGGGCATGTCTGGGCAGGTATGCGGCCGTTGCTAGGGGCTGAGGTATGTCTGTCTGGGCATGAAACCTGCAGGGCGACATGCCCAAAAATGAGCGCTAGACTAGCACTGCATTGTCCTTGCTTCAACTTAGCGCCTTTATTTATATATCATTTATATATCTTACGTATTTTCATATGTATCAGCTACATGTATATATATATACAAATTATACATATTATATGTTTATATATCTGGCTATTATTAGGTAATATTGATACTTCTGTCGCTGAAGAAACTTAAATAGGTTCAGAACGCATGAAGGAACTTGGCTCTACTAAACTCACCTCATTAATATTAAAGAAACATGATTAAATTTCTTATTAAAACAAATAAGCATTCAGATTAGAATTCAAGTAATTATTTCAGTTTAATGATGACACCGAAATTATAACAAATGAAACAAATTGAACTTAAATCGATTTGAAATGGAGGGAAAATATAGAATTTTAAAGGTCTATAGTTTGGGAAGATTCATCATTAGAGAAATAAATAAATTAGCGTCCAGAAATGTACCGGTACCAGAGTACATGTACCGGTACATGTACTTGGTGGAGATAAGTACATGATAAATTTTGGTGGAGATAAGTACATGATAAATTTTGGTGGAGATAAGTACATGATATAAGTAAATATGATACAACACAAAAATATGGAACCGTGAAAATAACTCCGACAAAATTTTAAAATTGTGAAAATTTTTGCAGTTGTGAGATGAAGAACTGGAGTTAAATGCGTACAGATGAGGGCCTCTGCCATCGTTGGTCGGATTATGATGCTGGAGTGTTGAATGTTGAATATATTCAACCACGAATTTATCGTAGATCTTGAGATGAAGTTGCTCGAGTTATCACATCAAATATTTGCATACGCCGTATATTAAACGCCTTGATTTATCACGACATACTATGATTAATACGGGCTCCAAAAGATACGGCCGTATGATATCTTAAGTATTCAGAGCTTCCTATAACTTGAATGTTGTTACATTCGTAACTTCGTTAATATATTAAAATTACTTCATAAAATCTTCATTTTGATCAACTGCGTTGGGGTATTAAATGGTGTATCTTCTACTTAAGGGGTGCATCTTCTACCTAAATGGTGTATCTTCTACTTAAGTGGTATATCTTCTTAAGTGGTGTATCATATTCTTAAGTGGTGTATCACCTACTTAAATGGTGTATCTTCTACTTAAGTGGTATATCTTCTTAAGAGGTGTATCATCTTCTTAAGAGGTGTATGATCTTCTTAAGAGGTGCATCATCTTCTTAAGAGGTGTATAAAGTGGTGTATCTTCTACTTAAGTGGTATATCTTCTTATGTGGTGTATCATCTACTTAAATGGTGTATCTTCTACTTAAGTGGTATATCTTCTTATGTGGTGTATCATCTTCTTAAGAGGTGTATCATCTTCTTAAGAGGTGTATAAAGTGGTGTATCTTCTACTTAAGTGGTATATCTTCTTAAAAGATGTATCATCTTCTTGAATGGTGTATCATCTTCTTAAGAGGTGTATAAAGTGGTGTATCTTCTACTTAAGTGGTATATCTTCTTAAAAGATGTATCATCTTCTTGAATGGTGTATCATCTTCTTAAGAGGTGTATAAAGTGGTGTATCTTCTACTTAAGTGGTATATCTTCTTAAAAGATGTATCATCTTCTTGAATGGTGTATCATCTTCTTAAGAGGTGTATAAAGTGGTGTATCTTCTACTTAAGTGGTATATCTTCTTAAAAGATGTATCATCTTCTTGAATGGTGTATCATCTTCTTAAGAGGTGTATAAAGTGGTGTATCTTCTACTTAAGTGGTATATCTTCTTAAAAGATGTATCATCTTCTTGAATGGTGTATCATCTTCTTAAGAGGTGTATAAAGTGGTGTATCTTCTACTTAAGTGGTATATCTTCTTAAAAGATGTATCATCTTCTTGAATGGTGTATCATCTTCTTAAGAGGTGTATAAAGTGGTGTATCTTCTACTTAAGTGGTATATCTTCTTAAAAGATGTATCATCTTCTTGAATGGTGTATCATCTTCTTAAGAGGTGTATAAAGTGGTGTATCTTCTACTTAAGTGGTATATCTTCTTAAAAGATGTATCATCTTCTTGAATGGTGTATCATCTTCTTAAGAGGTGTATAAAGTGGTGTATCTTCTACTTAAGTGGTATATCTTCTTAAAAGATGTATCATCTTCTTGAATGGTGTATCATCTTCTTAAGAGGTGTATAAAGTGGTGTATCTTCTACTTAAGTGGTATATCTTCTTAAAAGATGTATCATCTTCTTGAATGGTGTATCATCTTCTTAAGAGGTGTATAAAGTGGTGTATCTTCTACTTAAGTGGTATATCTTCTTAAAAGATGTATCATCTTCTTGAATGGTGTATCATCTTCTTAAGAGGTGTATAAAGTGGTGTATCTTCTACTTAAGTGGTATATCTTCTTAAAAGATGTATCATCTTCTTGAATGGTGTATCATCTTCTTAAGAGGTGTATAAAGTGGTGTATCTTCTACTTAAGTGGTATATCTTCTTAAAAGATGTATCATCTTCTTGAATGGTGTATCATCTTCTTAAGAGGTGTATAAAGTGGTGTATCTTCTACTTAAGTGGTATATCTTCTTAAAAGATGTATCATCTTCTTGAATGGTGTATCATCTTCTTAAGAGGTGTATAAAGTGGTGTATCTTCTACTTAAGTGGTATATCTTCTTAAAAGATGTATCATCTTCTTGAATGGTGTATCATCTTCTTAAGAGGTGTATCAAGTNAACAAATACATCAAAGTGATACATACAGTGATACATTACAAGACATCAAAGTGATACATGTTACAAGACATCAAATTACCTTTACATGTAGCTTATCCATTACCTATTAATCATTTGAATTACTTAATTAATTAGTGACAGGTTAATTTGTACTAACCACGTCCAATGAAAGAAATATTTCGTACATAAAAATACAGACAACATAAAAATTTGAACAAATGGTAGTTTTAATTGGACATTATTTTCCAAAAATGTCTTATTCGTAAAAAAAGCCTGCACGTGGGTCCTAAAAACGGCGGCCTTCAACTGAACAAAACGGATTCCCCGTTTTTGTCTTGATATTTAATCCTTAAGTGATATAACACAGGAGTTGGGGTGACTTTAGATTGATCGGCGACGATCCCAAACCCGATTTTGATGAAGATAATTTGGCCCTCGATGAGATGTGCAGATCATTAAATTCTTGAATATCTGATGGAATTTATTTTTAGTACAACTTTTGATGCGGCATTGGCTGTGCCTACAGCATGTAATTTAAAGTCGTTAGCAAGAGCGATTGATTGCAGTCAGAGAGGGAATTTGAGACGTTAGAGTGGGTATTTGAAGTCGTTAGAGAGGGAAATTGAAGTCTTTAGAGTGGGATTTAAAGATATTTCGAATTTGAACTACCGAGGGCAACTTCTTGTGCGTACCCTGAATGGTGCAAGAATTTTTTTCAATTGCAATTGTACAACTTTACGGAATCATGAACAGATGCATGAGTGAACGGATGCTATTTGTTGGTAAATCTTTGTCCAATCAAAATTTCAGGATATTTCGTCGATGCTTCATTGTAGATCGAAACGAGTTCGAGACGAGTGTATATAGTAGAATCCCAAGTGTTATCACCACCACGCCGACGAATAATTATAGTCCACTTTTGTTTACCTTCAGCAGACGATTTTATCGCCTATATCATCAGCTGCACGGGCATGAAACTCCGGCGCCATCCATTTTCATGACCAAATCTAGAACGATATTCAAAACAATATACATAGCCTGTATGGCTGAATTCACTGCTACTTTCGTCCCTCAATGGTTCGCTCCACATTCATATTTGTTCACTTATATTTATAATGCAGGTTTCATTGAAGACCAGAGAGTATTNGACTGGTGGCAGCTGCTGAGACTGGTGGCAGCTGCTGAGACTGGTGGCAGCTGCTGAGACTGGTGGCAGCTGCTGAGACTGGTGGCAGCTGCTGAGACTGGTGGCAGCTGCTGAGACTGGTGGCAGCTGCTGAGACTGGTGGCAGCTGCTGAGACTGGTGGCAGCTGCTGAGACTGGTGGCAGCTGCTGAGACTGGTGGCAGCTGCTGAGACTGGTGGCAGCTGCTGAGACTGGTGGCAGCTGCTGAGACTGGTGGCAGCTGCTGAGACTGGTGGCAGCTGCTGAGACTGGTGGCAGCTGCTGAGACTGGTGGCAGCTGCTGAGACTGGTGGCAGCTGCTGAGACTGGTGGCAGCTGCTGAGACTGGTGGCAGCTGCTGAGACTGGTGGCAGCTGCTGAGACTGGTGGCAGCTGCTGAGACTGGTGGCAGCTGCTGAGACTGGTGGCAGCTGCTGAGACTGGTGGCAGCTGCTGAGACTGGTGGCAGCTGCTGAGACTGGTGGCAGCTGCTGAGACTGGTGGCAGCTGCTGAGACTGGTGGCAGCTGCTGAGACTGGTGGCAGCTGCTGAGACTGGTGGCAGCTGCTGAGACTGGTGGCAGCTGCTGAGACTGGTGGCAGCTGCTGAGACTGGTGGCAGCTGCTGAGACTGGTGGCAGCTGCTGAGACTGGTGGCAGCTGCTGAGACTGGTGGCAGCTGCTGAGACTGGTGGCAGCTGCTGAGACTGGTGGCAGCTGCTGAGACTGGTGGCAGCTGCTGAGACTGGTGGCAGCTGCTGAGACTGGTGGCAGCTGCTGAGACTGGTGGCAGAAACAGAGACTGACTGGTGGCAGCTGCTGAGACTGGTGGCAGCTGCAATGACTGGTGGCAGAAACAGAGACTGACTCGTGGCAGCAGAGACTGACTGGTGGCAGAAGAGACTGACTGGTGGCAGAAGCAGAGACTGACTGGTGGCAAAAGCAGAGACTGACTGGTGGCAGCAGAGACTGACTGATGGCAGTAGAGACTGATTGGTGGCAGCAGAGACTGACTGGTGGCAGCAGAGACTGACTGATGGCAGCAAAGACTGATTTGCGGCAGCAGAGACTGACTGGTGGCAGCAGAGACTGACTGATGGCAGCAGAGACTGACTGGTGGCAGCAGAGACTGACTGGTGGCAGCACAGACTGACTGGTGGCAGCAGGATGACATAAATCAACCCCAACATTATGATTTATAGAAGTTTGGGTTGAATTAACCTTAGTGTCGCGGGTTGTTTCAACCATCCCGTGTCTTGGACTGATTCAACAATCGTGTGTACTGGTCTCTTATACACATCT